AATAATAATAGCTCTTTTCTAGTCAAACACTGTAACTTTCCATGTTTCATCTGTACTTTTTTTGTTAATTCTGTTGTGAGTCGCAGTTTTGGGGAGAAAGATGAGATATAAATCAAGTCAATCAATCAATCAATCTACACAATAGAATCTGACGTAGATTGCTCTGAATCAGGACATTTGGCTGAAAAGCTTTCCACTGCTTTTATTATTTCTCATGGCCAATTTCCCAACCCACCCTAGGACAAAATATCTGAAAGGAGTAAAACTACCTGGCACCTTTTGCAGCTATACTTGTGAGGCTCAGAATCCACACTTCCATCGGAGTTTTCGTCATTCTCCTCCGAAGAAATTCCAATTTTGCCAATGAACTCTTCCCTCTGGTGGTCATCCATGATTGCTATGTCCTATGCAGAGAGGAGCCATACACTCAAAAACTTATCCAACCAGAAAGCCATTGGCACAGCCGCAATGCATTTGTTTATACAGTCTTCCACAACAGGCACAAAACTATTTTCTAGTCTGCTGCATGGAAAGTCTCTGCTCATTAAGAAGCACCAACAGAAGGCTCCAATCCCTCCAACCTCCACCTCACAAAATTATGAGGAGGTTATGTCCACCCACACTTCTTTATTTTTTATTTTATTTATTGTTTTACTTATATGCATCCATCTCTCTACCCAGAAATACAGAACATGTCTTCTGCAATCTATTACCTAGTTCGTCTCTTGCTCAGCATCTCACAGACCCTCTTGTAGCATCCCTAATACCTTTTAACTGGAATTACTGTTTCTTAATATGCTCCGTGACATGTAAATCCATGTTAAGGCAAGGTGAAGCAAGAAGAACCACTGATCAACCTTCCCTCTAATTTTCAGCCCCGCTGGGTGGGGCCCTGCCCCTCGTGCGCATGCAATTTCCCACACCACTGCACACAGGTCTTTGGTTCCAGTCTGCAACCGGAACCAAAGGGGCTGAAAATAGTCACTTTCAGTGCATAGAGGAGGAGGAAGGCTGCACGGAGGGGGGCAGAGTTGTGAGCACAGGCCTGCAGCTTAGAGGGAACCTTGCTAGTGATGGACTTTTCTGTAGCTCTAGTCATGCTGGCTGGGGTATTCTAGAGCTGTAGTAGAAAAAAAACACAACTTTTCACAGGTCTGTCCAGATCACACAAAACACGGTAACATATTGAAAACTGCACCTTAAAATGAACATGAATATGATCTCTAAGCACATCCACTCTGAAGAATTTACGGCCACAAATCTCACAGGTATATTTCTTATCCCCATGGGTCAAGAGATGCTTGTTCATATTGCTCCTACATGAAAATATCTAGAAAAGAAAAAAGTTGGTTGATATTTTTTTGAGTCACATGTGAGAGATACTGTATTGCTTAAAAATTATACATGTTTTTATTGTAATAATCTTTAAGTGCTTGCCATTCATTTCCCAAATGTTTTAGAAATATGACCAAAGGCCAAGAGAAATGGTTTGCTCCAGACCACTTCCTGAGGACTTGCCTTAGTAAGGTTCTGCCACTAAGTTACGGCATGCATACAACCCGTCTATGTAACAAAGGCTACACAGTATGTCTGTTTTACAAAAACCTGCTGGATTAATTCATTTTACCTCTTGCCTCTGACAGGAAACTCACAAGTTTGCTACACATCATGCTTAAAAGAAGAAGAAACAAAGAGAGAGAGAAAGGCAAGCTATCAGGTCAAACTATTATGTAACTTGACACTGTACAGCAAACCCACTGGCGGGTGGGGGTGGCCGCAGTAAAACCACTCCTTAAATATTACACATGTCTCAAAAACCCTATGAGAACCTCTGTAAGCCAGAATCATCCTGAGAGCATGAGAAATGCTACCTTTCCACACACAGGACACCCAGAAGGCTCTTTCTTGTATCGGACGATGTTCTCTGCAGTGTGTTCAAAGTCCTCTCTTTTTACACGTCTCACTCCTTAGGGTAACAGTTCCCACCAAAAAAAGAGAAAGAGCAAACATAAAATAAACCATATTTTCCATTTCTGTGTATGAGAGAATCATATAAATAATACTGTAATTAAGACTATAGCAATGCAGGGAAATGTCAGCCTGTACATAATCAGAAATTAGAAATCAAACGAACACTAAGACTTTGAAGAGTAGCTTATGAAAGAACTAGAAAAGATCCCTAAGAATAAGGATGTGGCATTGGAGACCAAGAGCAAAATCAACCATACTGTAATATTCTTGATTACTATGTAGAGATGTGAGAACTGGATTGTGAGGAAAGCTGAGAGGGAAAATATATCAATTCATTTAAAATGTTGTGTTGGAGGAGAGTTTTAAAGATAAGGTGGATTGCCGACAAGATAAATATGGATTCTGTATCTAATCAAGCCTGAAACCTCTGGAGAATTAAAAAAAAAACCTCAACTGAGGCTATCATACTTTGATCATATCATGAGAAGACAAGGTTCACTAATAATGCTAGGAAAACTGGAAGGCAATAAGAGAAGAGGAAGACTGAACATGAGATGACTTGATTCAACAAAGGAAGCCACAGCCAACATATGCGGTATTTACTCTGCTGAGTTTTACATTTTCACATCAATGTATGGACTAGATTAAGATGGGGACCTTATATATGATCCTAACCTGAATTTTATGACTATGCAAAGATTTGAATTTGCTATCACTTGCAATATTAACTCCCTGTCCATGGCAGCACAATTACAGAGGCTCAGCTATCCATGTTATGTCTCTTTATTATGAAACAACAATTAAGTGTTTACATCATTTTACAGTGCAAAACATTCTTAGATGAAGCAAGGAAGCAAGTCTTGAACAACTGTGGGATTTTGTAATTTTTTTTTAAAGGATGAACTAGATTGGCCAGAATCCTCTTGGTGTTTGTGCAGGTTTACATAACTTTGTATGGCTCTTTGATGAGATGCTAAGGCACATCTTGGTTGTTCAGTTGGGTGCATAGCTAGGCACACTACTGAGACATGCCCCAGCCTCTCGTCAATTAGCTGCAGTTAGCTATAGGTGAGCACCAATAGGATTAAACACACTGAAAATATATTGGAATTTGTTATCCTTTTATGTACTGTAGCTTCCAAAAGATGCTGAAGCTGGCGAATCTTGTTCTTAGGTAAGTTAGAAAACAAATGGTTGAGAAAATATTGGCACAGCTAATGCATTCACAGGAACTTCATACCCTCTGGTTTGCACCTGCAGCAGTTCATACCCACTATCTTCTCTTGGGGGAGGGATACTAAATTTCCTTCCTGTTTCAACAGTCACTCTTCAGGTAAAAAAAGAGAGCAATAATAGTTCCATAATGCTGTTTTGCGTAAAGAAACTCCTCCTAGCTACTTCTGACTAGGAGAGCAGGAGTATCAAATTTCTGCTCATCGGCTACCACCTCCTTAGTGATAAAAATATAATTAGCAACAAATTGCCCATTTGGGTGCATTACATGTTTATTGTTTGGGATTTTTGCCTCCAAACATAGGCATCATTCTTGCTCTCACAGGCACAAAGAAATACAGAAACATTTCCTTCCCATACCTCAAGGACATGCAGAAGATCCATGATCTTAAATTTTCCTGAGTACAATGAACTGTTTTATTTTTAACTGTTAAATAGCTACACTTGCAGGGCTCCAAACTGTCTAGTAATGTATTCCAAGGGTTCATTACCATGAATAACAGAAGGAACCAACTGCAGTGTGCCAGCTCTCGAATAATGACTTGCTGCCAGACGAAAACTTTTGCTCAAGATCCCAATCAAAGCTGACAAACCCAGATCAAGGACAAAACCCGTCACAGATGTACTCACCTTCCAGATGCCGCCTCTGGTGATCCAACATGACATCCTTCCGGTAAAACAACTTATTGCAGATCTCGCAAGCAAATTTCTTGTCTCCATGTTTCTTTTTGTGTTTTGAGAGGTTGCTGTTCGTAGAAAAGAATCTGAAACACATCTCACACTGAAATGTCTTGTCATCTGCAAAAGGAAAAAGAAAAAAAATGAGTAAAGAGAAGTATCTTAGTTACTACTCTTACCATTCAGTTGGTTCTGAGAAGATGCCAGCTATTCTAGCTGCATAATTTAGAAAACGGATGTTCCTCCAAATCACCATGGAATCTGTGTTCTCTTGCATGACCCCTATCAAATGCTAAGGCACTGATCCGAAAGCAACAAAGTACAGTTATAAGATGCAGTGTCACTTACATGAATGTCATTTATATTGATTTCCTGGATGAATTAGATATGGGGAAATCCCACCTGACATGCCAGCTGCACTCTTAGCCAGATACTTAACAACACATGCATATCAATACAGTTGATTATGTGCCAATCTACTGAGCTACATCAGTGTAACTTTTGGGGACAATAGGATGAGCACACGTATCCTGAATGTGGCAGGGATAGAGTATGCCATCCAAAGTACCCATCTGAGGGTGTCAAGACTGAATTCCCAAAACCAAATTAAGGATCTACTTTCAACAAACTGGCCTCCAGTAAAGGAAGGAGTCCTTGCCTGCTTTCCAGGGATCCCCCCACTCCCTCCCAGCAGTACCACTACCCATGCAAAGTCCCTGATCTTCCACTGAGCATTTTTCAGAGGGCTGCCATGGGAAGGACAGGTTTGTGACATACTTTTCTGCCAGTCCAGTTCCATACCCCAAATTGGATCACAGTCATTAACCTAATTTTGCTAATTTAGAAAAAGTAGATGTTCCCAAACAATGTTTAAGATTCTTTATCTGAAAGGAAAAGAATGTAATACCCATACCATGGGAGACTAGGCTTGGCACCTGGCTTCTAAAGGTAGCAAAAATCAGTTACCATATTTTTCTGTGTATAGGATGTCCCCATGTATAAGACACTCCTCCACTTTTCTAACTCAATTTTTTTCTTTGCAAGAAAGTGGAGGGGGGAAGCATTTCCTGCTTTTCTCCTTCCACATTCTTTGCAAAAAGGTCCGTTCCCCCTCTATGTTTTGCAAAGAAATGGGAGGGGGAAAGTGATTCCTCTTTTCCCCCTACATTTTTGTTGCAAAAAGCAGCTTTCCCCCTCCATTTTCTTTGCAAAATGTGGAGGGGAAAAGCAGGGATCAAAGCACTTTGATCCCTCCCCTCCTCCTTACTTCTGTGTATAAAACGACCCTCAATTTTTCCTTTAATTATTTTAGGAAAAAGTGTTGTATTATACACAGAAAAACACAGTATATGTGAAAATGGCTTCACTGCTTATAGTAGCGTGGGCAAGACTGGACAACAGAAACAGTGTTTGGCTTTCTTCTCACTGAAAAACAGCCACTGTTGTATTAGTCACATAAGAAGAGCTACGTTGGATCAGACCAAAGGCCTGCTGGCCTAGCATTCTGTTCCCATAGCAAGATGATCTGTTGCTGATGAGAAACCCATGAGCGTGATGTGAATGCAACTACATCCTCCTTAGAGAATCGACAATGCATGCAGCATACTCAGCCACAGTCCAGTGGCAGAGGACACACTTTTGATGTGGATAGTCCCAGCCTCAGTCATGGGATGTATAGTTCTAAAGAAATGACAATGAAATCCCTTCCTAAGGTCTTAGGAGGAGAATGCCAGATAGTAGACAAAACTAGGTTGAATGGATCATAGGCCTGACTCTGTTACTAAGTAATATCATGACTTAATTAAATAATAATAATCCTCATCACCTGCTTTCTCAGGAATATTCATCCCCAGTTGAAACATAATGTTCTCAGCTTTGCTATTCTCCTTCCTCCTTCCTAGCTAACGGACCAAGTCCAAAGGTTCTCTCCAGAGGAGGAGGGTGTATCCAATGTGATGGGGTGGCAGTGCTTCCATTCCAGGCTTTAGTCTGAAGATTAAAAGAGTTGTCCATGGTGCTGAATCTATTTTTGAGATAGGGGTCAACCCTGAGGATAGCTCCTGTAACGTTTAGCAGATTCACATTCATATGAACTTCAATGGTTCCCTCCCTCTAGAAGCAATCCAGGGCTTCATTGCACTTCTTGGCAATAGCAAGGCTTAAAAGGTGAGTGGAACCCATCTGTAGTCTCAGCCAATAAGCGGCTCAGCCACACAAACAACTGTGCTCCACTTTGCAGCCACAGGTTGCGATGGGCACTACACCTCATCAAGAACAAAGGCAAGAATGAATTCTAGAAGATGCTTCAGTAAAAAATAAGGGTAAATTACTCCACGATGAAAAATTGGGATGTACTAATTTTCACATTTTAAACACTTTATAGAGCAGAAATTGCAATGTCCAAATGACTTCTACAAGTACCTTTATACTAAAAAAGTACAATTCCAGATGTATATAACTTGGCAATATAACATGGTTTCATTATCATCATACCTGTTCTACAGTTGTGGAATTCTAATGCACTCTCTATTCGAAAAGCCTTTTCACATGTTGCACACCTATACCTGTATTCATTATCAACCTGGAAATAAAAGAAGGAGAAAACTGAGAAGAAAGCCAAGGAGATATATACATAGATATGGATCTTATGTTTTAAAATATGCTCTTTTTGTTTCCCAACTGAGCTGTGTTACATACACTCTCAAGCATTTCACAAAACTTCAAACATTTTCAAAGAGCAGAAAAAGGTTTTCTGCTAATTTCTGAAATTCAAAAGCTTTGGGTCCAGAGACAATCACTATAGGAGCAATCATCTTGTCCTTTGGAAGCGATCCAGAATAAAACAGAACACACTCTCTCTCTCTGATTGCAAAGAGAGACAGGTGCCCACTGATGAAGAAAGAGGTTCACATCACAAACCTCTTCCATGGGGCAGTGGGGAGATCTGTCACTGATGATTTTCTGCTACTGAAGCTGTAACAAGCCCATATATTTTCCTGGTGTGCTTCCAAAATGGTACAAATAGAACTATGTGAGTCCTATTTATGGGATGAGACTTTAAAAATAAAAAAAAAAGATATAGTGGCAGAAAAACTCAGCTCTTCCTCCTCTTTCTTCTGCTAGTGGAAACCTAGCAGAGCACAAAAGTGAATGACTCCTCCTTCATATCTTCTACCCTCAATTCCTCTGCTGGATTTCTCTGCATGACTTAGAAGGGCCCATCCCACAAATCTGCAGATTTTGCCCAGTGTGGATTCATTAGTCTTCTTCTGTCCACAGATTGCTTCTTGATGGAGACCCAAACTAACCTCATTCCTGCTGTGTTTGTACGAAACGTGCTGCTTCAAACTCTCTTTTCGACTGAATAGCTTGGCACATTCCTCACATTTGAATAATTTGTCACCTAAAAGATTAATCCCAAGAGACAAAGTCAGTTCAGTTGTTTATTGAACTAGAATAACCAAGAATAATTATAATAAAAATGTATTAAATGCTATGTTAGCATGGATCTATCCTTATGTATAAGATAAAATATGCAGAGATTACTACCATTTGGATTAATACCAGCTTGCTAGAAATGCTCTAGTAAGCACCCCTCTGCTTACTACAGAAATTGAATAAAAAGGTAGGAATAGACAGGGCAAATGATTCATATAGGACAATAACCTATACCTAATTTATATATTATATTTTTAAATCCATAAACCACTGCTTAAGCACAAATTATATTTGCACAGGTCTGTTTACAAGAAGTACTCAAAAATGCAAATTGGATATTTGACAGAAATATATACTCCACTGGGAACCCATTCCTTCTATTAATAACACTCAGGCATATTTTACACTCAAATCAGCTTCTAGTGCAGAGCCAGAGGTTTGGCATTCAAGACTGCATTGTGTATCCCAGAAGAGCCAGCCTCTATGGTCTTGGGCAAGCTGCACAATCCTAGGGCACCCCCAGGAGAAGAGAATGGCAAGCCATTTCTGGGTAAATTATGTCTAGAAAACTCTCAAAGGAGTCACTGTAAGTCAGAATTAACATGATGATGATGATGACGACGACGACGACGACGACGACGACGACGACGACGACGACGACGACGACGACGACGACGACGACGACGACGACGACGACGACGACTACTACTACTACTACCAGACACAGTCAATATTATAAAAACATTGACTGGTACTATATAACAGATAGTTTTGAACCAAAAACCTAAATATCGGCGCAGTATTTATGCTATTCCTAATATTGCTGTTTTTTGTAGCTTTGATGGTGTTGTTTCTGAGCTCTGCAACTGCTTATAGTACTCTGTGAAATTTCTTGATATTGTTCCCAAAGCCCCAATGACTATGGGAACCGCTGAAGTATGTTTCTTCCCTGATTCCCTTTCTCGTTTCCTTCCTAGTGTTTAAACCAATTGTTGAAAGTTTTCCTTTATGTAATTCTGTTGTATTCATTGTTGTACCCCTTGCTGTAAGCCGCCTAGAGTGGTCTATTGACTAGATAGGCAGGATATAAATAAAATAAATAAATAAATAAATAAAGGCATGATGTTTTTATTTCCAGGTCTCTATACTTCGTTAGTTTTTCCAATTCTTTATTTTCAGCTCTGGCATCCCCTGAGATTGCAATGTCAATGATCCAGACATTTCTTCATTCTATTACTACCAAGTCTGGTGTGTTATGCTCAAGGTGTCTATCCGTTTGAATCCAGGAATCTCACAAGATCTTGACTTCCTCGTTTTCTCACAGCTTCTCTACCTGATGTTCCCATGAGTTTTTGGAGGCTGGCAAGTTATATTTTTTGCATAATGACCATTTCACTAATTTTGCCACTCTATTATGTCTAACATTGTAATCTATTTGTGCAGTCTTTCAACATTCACAGATGAGGTATGACACAGTTTTGTCCTTTTTCTTAGCGGAGTCAACATTTGCTATTAGCACTAATTCCTTGGATCTTAGCTTTCATCATGTTGGTTTGGAGTGCTTGTTCTTGTCCAGCAAAAATCAAGCCTTCAGTTTCTTTCTTGAGGATTGCCAGTTTTAGCCATGCCCATGTTGAATTACAATCATGCTTTTCACCAATATTTCTCGGATGCTGTCCATGCAGTAGTTTATTTTTCCAGCTGTTTGATTTCTTTTTGAATTGTTGTTTCTTATATTGATCCTTTGTTTCTGTTATTTTTGAAATATTCTCCATTTTCACTGCCTTAAGTAATTTTTCTCTGCTTGTACTGATACAAATTTGTTTAGAGTCCAATCTACTATTCCAGCTGGGTATCTAATTACTGGAACTGCCCATGCGTTTATGGCTTTGATTGTATTTTCACGATTTAATTTTGATTTTAAGATTTTCTGCAGCCTTTTGATATATTCCCTTTCTGTCAGTTCTTTAACTTTTGTGTGTACAAAGTTATCTGCTTCTAATATTCCAAGATATTTATAATTTTCATCACTTGATAGTGATTTTATAATATTGCCATTTTTACCTCTATTCCATCTAATTTTTGGATTTTGCCATGGTATATAGACAGAGCTGCACATCTGTCAATTCCAAACTTTATTCGGATATCTTCACTAAATATTTGCACTGTGTTTAGCAGTGATTCTATCTCCATGGCACTTTTTGCATATAGGTTTAGGTCATTCATGTATAACAGATGATGATGATGATTAAATGTAAAAAAAGGGGGAGGAACTACATACAGTATGGGAACATTCTGCAGCAAAAGGGATTAACAGAAAATGACTGAGAATGTAATCATTCTAGTAGGAATTCAGAACCAGGTGACATTTGAACCCACCATGAGAGCGGATGTGCCTGCTGAGATTGCTGCTATTCTGGAACATCTTATTGCATATGTTGCACTGATACACCCGCTTGTGCTCCCCAAGCTGTTTGATCAGCTTGCGTCGTATCCCATGTCTGTTGGAGAGGATCAAGCTTCTCTTGAGGGACACAGAGCTTTGATGATGTGAAAACCTACAGATTGTAACAAAGGAGGTAATAAGCAAAAGGTTCAGAAGGCCCTAGCTCTGCTCTTCACTACTGAAACTATCACAGTTTAGTGAATCATTAGAATGAGGAAGCAGGAAAGTTCACCATTTGCCTTTCCCCTTTTCAGGAGAGACACTTACTTTGTTACAGGATTCACATTGTTTGTAGTACTGGGTAGCTTCCCTAAAACCAACTCCATAATCCTGTCTTCTGCAGCAGAAGGAAGGGTTACATCATCAGGTGGGATTTCTGTTATAATTTCGGCAACTTCTTCCACTGTTAATTAAATTCACCAAGAAAAAAAATCAGTCAATTAGGAACTTCAAACACAACTAAACAAGACATTGAGCTTCATCATCCATCCACAACCCAGTTAAATCAAAACCTATTCAAAATGCTGCCTGAAAACACCCAGGGAAATGTTTTGAAAACAAACCTAATTGCTGCAGGTTTAGGAAGGAGTGAAGAGGGCAGCCAGAGAAGGATGGATGAGAGTTGCAGAGATTCCCAGCTACTGGCATAAAAAATACCAAGACTGAAACAGTTGTGCCATGAAAGATCTATTAACTGCATTTCTTGATGGGTCTTCTTCCTCCCCACTTCTCCCACCAAATCAGCCACAAGGGGACCTGAATTTGACTGGCACACTGGTGCTCAGAGAGTGGCCATCTCACCAAAACACTTTTCCAAATCTAGATTTCTTCCTAAATTTGCTGTTAGCTTGCTGAGTGGGGAAAAGACATATTTGTCCTCCCCCCCCGCAAGTGGGGCTAGGAGAAAAATAAGCAAACATCCTCTCCCTACAGAGTACTGTTTCAATCAAATGTGATGTACTATTCTATTTCACAGTGAATAAGAAAACAGCAACAGCAGATCTCATCATAAATATTTTGAGCCATGTCTGTTCTGGTCCTTAAGAACCAAGGCAGAAGAAGATTTCTGCTCTGCCTGACAATAGACTCATAGAATAATTTAGTTGGAAAGGGCCTATAAAGCTATCGAGTCCAATCCCCTGCTCAGTGCAGGAATCCAAATCAAAGTGGATCTGAATCCAAATCAAATTGGTTCCATTGTCATACTGCTCTAATAATTTTTTTCTGGCTATTCAGCTTAAATCTGACTTCCTGTAGCTTAAGACCATTATTCCATGCCCTGTACTCTCGGATGATCAAGAACAAATCTTGCCTCTTTCTGCATGATTGCATTTCAAGTACAGTGGTGCCCCACATAGTGATGATAATCCGTGCAGCAAAAATCGCTGCAAAGAATCGGCGTGAAAACAAAGTGGGCGGCCATTTTGGAACCACTGAACAGCTGTTAAGCGATTGGTAAGCAAAACAGGGTACCGATCATTGCAAAGTGATTTTTCCTTAGGGAACATCGCAATGCGATCGCAAAATCTTCGTTGCTATGCGGTTTCGTCGTTAAATGGGGCGCCCGTTAAGCGAGGCACCACTGTATTTGAAAAATGCGATCACATCTTCAGCCGGTGCAGTCAGTTAAAGATAACAGTGGGCTGGAACCAATCCAGCTATGCTATGTTGCATCACTTGCTACTCATAAAGTTCTCCAATGAAATTATATCAGGAGGTAGAAAAACATTCCCTTCCCCTGCCAGCCAATCTGAATCAATGCACTTGGCATTGCAAAATTATCATTTTGCTAGGTCAGCTTACTCATCCCAGCACCCTCCAGATGTGCCTCACTACAAGTGCCATTAACTGAACCTTAGGAAAGTGTCATTACGGTATTAAACCAAATAAATGTTGATGGACTGTTAACATTTGGACTTCCTAAGACTCACCAGAAGAATCTTTGTCATCTACAACCACAAGAGGAGTTTCGGTTGTAGACACTTTTGGCCTTCTGCCCCTTCGGGATTTTCTTTTCACATCTGCAGAGGTATTTGCGCTTTCACAGGTTGTGGGCTGATCTGCAGGGGGCACCTCCACCCCCTTCTCTGGAATGGCATCATTCTGATTACTTTGGGGAGCACCTTTGGCTTCCTCCAAGTGACTCAGCAAATGTTCTGCAAGGAAAGAGTGAGAAATCACAACAATGTCTATGAGAGTGGCAGAACCTTAGGAAAGCAGTCTTTCCTTCATTTAAATGCAGAGTCATCTAAAATCAACATTCTAGATGTAATGGTGTACCAGGCTGCAACTAACCCATCAACTGGATCATATGGCTTTTATAAAGATAAGTGGAAATGAAGGGCAATGGAACACAGTCAGAAAGAAAGGCAGAGCACAGAAATTACACTTTGTAATTATGCTTCCTTGTCAAGACGCATTTAAAGTTCCTTACGTGCTCCAACACAAACATAGAGCTGCTAATGAGCAAGGCCTTCCCATTCAAACATGATTGCCATTTGTTAGCAACTTCTGATGCCAGTACAGGGAAAAAGAAGTAATATCATGCCTGAAGGGAGCTCCACTTAAGAACCCCCTCTCACCACTTACGAGGCACCACTGCTGTGACCACCAGAGGAAGCAATTGCTTCCTCCATGGTGCTTAAGTCCAGCTGCATAACAACTGCTCTTAATTTATTACCTGTTGACCATTGTAACCAAGTGCCTGAGTTTCCTTTATTCTTCAGCTCTTCCAAGCCCTTTTCCTTTTGTGCCATGCCTTTCATATTGCAAGCCTGCTGGCTTTGTTGTTGTTGTTTAGTCGTTAAGTCGTGTCCGACTCTTCGTGACCCAAATGGACCAGAGCATGCCAGGCCCTCGTGTCTTCCATTGCCTTTCAGAGTTTGGTCAAATTCATGTTGGTAGCTTCAATGACACTGTCCAACCATCTCATCCTCTAATGTCCCCTTCTCCTCTTGCCTTCACACTTTCCCAA